TATATATATATATAATGTATGTGGGCTCTTAATGCTTTAAAGCATTCAGCACATAATGTTTTCTGAGCATACAGCAACATTAAGAAACCCCCCTGTTATTTCAAGATGCAGGAAAAACCTACTGGATCCACTATGACCAAAGCCAGTAACATGCATGCTCAGAAATGTCTTCCAACATTCTAGTAGGGCAGTGGAAGTCATCTGTATGTAGCAAAATGCTATCCTTACAATGCTGACTTTATCTTTGATCTTTTACTGCGCAATATTTTGTGCGATTTGTACCCAGCTACGTGTAAATGTCATCATTAGATCATTATCGTAAATCTTGCTTGTTTAGGTCTTTAGGCATTTTACAGAGACACAAAGTTTTTGTCATCTGGTTGCATTATGCACAGAAGTTACATCATATATATATTAACAAGCTCATTTGATAATGCAAAAAGCAGCAATGACATGCACAATGCAATAGCTATTAGCAGCCGGTCAGATTTTACTTTTTTGTTTTTAGGGCAGTCAGAACAGTGACAGTATGATTCCTACACTTTGTTCATCTGACCGTAGTTGGGCACACTGACCATTTGACATGTAGACTGCCTCATTATGTGTTGATTTCAGTTCTTTCCAGATTCTGAACAGCTATTTTAGCTGTAGATATGAAAGCAACTGAAAAATGCAGATGTGGTGACAGGACTAGGCTGTATGTAGGATACATTTTCTGTTTTAACACCAAGTAGAAATTCAGTGTCGCAGACTGCATTAACCATCTGTGGCAATTAGGAACCAAATATCAATAACCAGATTAAAAGGTATGTGGAATCACAACCTTCCCAAATCTGTGACATTTTATTTACAATTGTTATGTAGTTGAATGCTGATCTGAGCTTATCAGCCATTTGAGGCTAAGGAGGTTGCTTGCAGATTACTTATAGGAAGCTGGTTGTGTGTAGTAAAATGCCTCCACCTAGAATCCTAATTTGATTTTTTTTTGTTTTGTTTCCCTATTTCACATTTACAGATCTGTGAATAATATCAATACTTTTAGGCCACATGCACATGCAGATAAAAGCTGCATCTGCGTATTCACGTGGCAAAAACCTGCAGTAGCCACAGCTATTAGCCCTATGTGCATTTGGCCTTATATATAACAAATTGAAATACTCCTCCATGTGCTTTCAAAAAAAAGGCACAAAAACGTGTGTCCTCTAGTTCTCAAAATGTAATATTCTCACACTTCAAAACCATCTTTATCTATACGTAGAAATACAGTATATCTCAGTTTTTCTTTCGATATATGTTTTGATATTTTTTCATTTTGGAGCATCCACATTATTCTTTTCTATTTTAATTCTACTGAGGTCACAATAGTGACATCAAAGTAACATTATTTATTTGAATAACAGGTTTTTCCCCCCCTAAAATGTTAATTTTATGTATTTCCACTTTTAGACAGTGGATTATCACCAAAAATGATGAACCCCCCGACTCCAGCCATGTATAAATATCGTCCAGGATTTGGAGCAAACCCCAAAGTTCACTACCATCCAGCTACGGAACAGGTAAATAGCAAATACATCATGTGACCTTTGAACAATGTCCTGAAATCATTAGTCGATGTTTTAGAAAAACTGTCACATGACAAACAATTTGTATTTGTACTCGCAAAACTGGTATCGGTGCATTCCTTTATATTTATAAAAACAAAATCCTACATTAAAACAGATGTACAAATCCCAGAAGCTCCGTGTGCTCCTTACAAATGACAGCTGTCTCCTAACTTTTGAGTTTTTCTCTAGTCTAGTCTTGGAGCTCAAAGTATCTGTACTTGTACCGAGTACTCTACTTGGTATCGGTGCATCCCTAATTATTATATATCATACCCCTTCTTCGTCTTTTTAGTTGCATTGGTTTTTGAAACTCATTCTAGATCATAGCTTGGCGCCCTGCCCTGCCCTTTACTTGTTTCTTTGCAAATGTCCTTTTAGCTTGTGAATTGATGGGATAGGAAGGTTTCCACTGGAAGTCTCCGCATGTAAATGGAGGTGCAGTATTTTATCCCACACTGTACCATGCACTAGGCATTAAAGCCCAGTCTCTCCTCTTATTTGGGTGCAGTGGATAGTAATGCCGGTGATTAAAGACTAACTCCAGCAGAAGATTATATTTCATGGTCTGGTGGACACATTGGTGTTAAACTTTTTTTTTTTCACCGCAGGAACACTAAGCTCACACTACTAAGGGGTTGACCAAAAATATGGTACACTAACCAGTTGACATTTGACTGGAATAAATGTGGTCCACATAGGTGGGACCTACTCTCTCTTGTACAGAGAACTGACATTCATGAGGAGTCACTGGCTGCGAGTGACTGGAATAGACTGGCCCATAATGGTCAGTTTGAAGAAGGGGAGAAAAACACCACTTGGGATGGCAACAATGCCTTTTTACAACTACCTAGGCAGGTGATTTTATTGTTATTGTTTTCACAATGTATTTGTGTAAAACTATGGCTGCATAATGCAAGCAACCATTATAATGCCCAGTCTCAATAAGAGTAAGATCTGGCTTAAAGTGCACTAACTGATTTCCTTCTAAACTTCAGGAGCAATATTTTCTGTTGAAAAGTTTAAATTACCCTGTTGTTTTAATGGCTGGAATCCCAATTTTTATTCAATTACAGACAATACAGTTTTATAGTTGTATTGGTAAACAAGGTAGCAAGAGAAGCTGTAAACGCACGCTAAAGTATTCCTCTGATTACAGATTGCTATGCAAGAATGTTTAAAGGACAACGTTTTTTTGGAGGAAGATTGCCGCACTCACGATTATCAGTCGGAACCCAACCTAGATTTCCAAGAGTATCGTAAGAACTCTCTGCATAAGTCTTACCAGTCATCCCCTCTGCAGCTAGACAGCTTCACTGCCAACACTCGCTCGCTGAGCCTGAAGAATTCTGGGCGTCGTGAGTCAGAGAAGATTCCACTCCAAATGGTGAAATCCGAGGGTGACCCAAATATACCATACAAGAGTGTATTTTCCCCCAATGCCATCTCTAACCGTAATGGGAGCTTATCTTATGACAGCTTGCTCAACCCAATGTCTCCAGCAACCGCTAAATGTACTGCACACACTGCCGCTGGTTCTGTGGGTTACCACTCGCCATACATGTCTGCCAAAATGTGCCACCTACGAGGAGCAGAGCGCCAACCGGTGCAGAGTTTCAGCCCTGTACTGAACAGGGCGTCTGGACATCAGCGAGAGCCTTCCCCTGTGCGCTATGATAACCTCTCCAAATCCATAATGGCCTCTATCCAGGAAAGGAAGGAGATGGAGGAACGGGAAAAATTACTACATTCTCACACAAATTCTGTGTTTGCAGACTCAGGGGTCTATGATACCCCGAGCACATACAGCCTACAGCAGGTCAGTTCACTCTCAGAGAATCCTCGTGCTGCTTCAGGACGGTATGGTTCGAAGGACAATCTGCTGGCTGGGGCAGTCACTTTCAGTTCCAGAAATCCTATTCTTCAGTCCTCTGTGTCCTCTCTTTCCAGTGGAGTCTCCAGAGCACCTAGGACTTCCACCACTTCTTTACAGGCTGACCTAGCCAATAACAATATTCAAAGTCACCAACCCTTACAAGGGCGAGTGAGCAATGGGTCATACAAGTCCCCTGGCCATCATGCTCCATCATCACCCTCTGGTATACCTAGGTCTCCCTCTTATGGGGGAGCAAAATCTGTCACATTTCTTAACACCATGGAATTTGCAGAAGGACCTTCCATCACGGGTCAAAGGTAAGCTGTTCTGTTATGTAGCTTTGTATGTTTGGATTGCAACTGCATTAAATCACAATGTGCTATTATATAAAAGAATATCTGATCTGAGCTGTAGTTAAATCGATAAAACCTCATGAGCTACTGTGCTGAGAATGTATGTTATACCTTCATATGTACATAAATAGTGCACTGCGCTTGTAGGTTTAAAACATGCATAAAAACACCATTAAAAAAAACCTTATAGCACAATGTGATATTCCACCTAAAGTGCTTATAAATGTAAATATTTTTCTTTTAAAAAACATTCAGTGATGATAGTGACATGCCAAATAGCAAATTCTTATCATACACAAGTCCACTATAAAAGTGACATGTGCAAGACAACAAAGTCCATAAATCACTCCAATCCGTGACTCAAAGACCTCAATCTTCAGTGCTACTTATAGTCCTCCTTATTCACCCTCAGTGTTATCCCAGTCAGTCTACCAAGTACACTCAGAAAGGAAACGGATACAGCCTCATCGCATAGTCTATAAAAACTACTCACATGGCCAATCAGCAGGTTGTACCACCTATCAACGCATTTCATCGCCAGGACTTCCTCTGGATGGTGCACATGCTGATACCAACAAGTCCTTACATTTTAGAGCAACACTAAGGCGTAATCTGTTTTTCAACCATTAGGTGTCCTAGTACATTATTTATTCTCTAAATCCGTGGTTCTCAACTGGTGGGTCGTGACCCTCCGCCATAGCGCGCAGCACTGTCAGTTCTCGTGCCGAGTAGCCATTCAAAATATGCTGCCTGGCGTCGAGTGCCAGCTTGAGGTGGGGTGGGCAGGGGGTGTATATCCATGAGGGAGCTCCATCCATACAAGCATTGCTTATAGCTCCCTCGCGTGACCTGAGTGACATCACATTCTGGCTCCCGGCACCTCTACAGGGAGTGCAAGGGAGCTGTACAAGCAATGCACATATGGATGGAGCTCCATCCGGAATGTGTGTGTGAGATTGTGTCTGTGGTTGTGTGTGTCTGTCAGTGTTTTAATCGCAAACTACCACGCAATCGCACCTACTGTTCTGGTGCGGGAAGTGCGTTGCATTGCCATTCATTTGAATGGCTCCACAAACACACCTCCCGCCCACAGTTTGATCGGAACATGCAGTACTGCATTGCGATTAGTTTTTCTCAGGACCCACCAAGGACAAATGTGGGTCCTGAGGTTATACAGGTTGAGAACCACTGATCTAAATGGTTTAAAACTTGTAATATCCTATACAACCTCCTAGATGGTCTCCACATATAGTAAAAAAAAAACCAGAGATTAAAAATTCTAAAAACTGAGATGAAAGTGTATATATATGTGTGTGTGTCTGTGTATGTATATGTGTTTGTATGTATATGTGTGTATGTGTGTGTGTGTATATATATGTATATATATATATATATATACATACTTTCATCTGTTTTTAGAATTCTTTTCTGTTTGTCACTATATGTGGAGACATCTAGAGGCTGTATAGGATATTACAAGTTTTAAACCATTTAGAGAAGATATAATTGATGTACTAGGAAGACACCTAATGGTTGAAAAAACAGATTACGCCTTAGTGTTGCTCCAAAATGTAAGGACTTGTTAGTATCAGCATGCGTATCCATCCAGAGGAAGTCCTGGTGATGAAATGCGTCGATAGGCGGTGCACATGCTGACGTCATCACGTCACTGAGCAGCATGGAGAGAGAGACTCTGGACGGACGCTGTTTGATCTTATATGCGATTTGTTTTTATTGGCCATGTGAGTAGTTTTTATCTTTTTAATAAAGCGTGGTTTTTACATACTATGCGATGAGGCTGTATCTGTTTACTTTCTGAGTATACTTGGGAGACTGATTGGGATATACCAGATCGTTACTGATATTATCTATGGAAGTGTTACCCTGGATCATTACTGGTTGGAGTGGGGGGATACTGAGAGGAAGCCTACACTATACTAAAACAATATAGGACCATCCTGCAAAGGGGTCGTTCATTAGTGGTTAGTGCGGACCCTGCATTATCACTGAGGGTGAATAAGGAGGACTAGAAGTAGCACTGAAGATTGAGGTTTTTGAGTCGCAGTCACGGATTGGCGTGATTAGGTCTCGTTCACACCTAGGCGTATTGCATATGCGCGTCTGTCGCGTTTTTACCGCGATTCGCGGTAAAAAAGTCACGCGTTTCCGAAGGCTACTTCCCAATGGAAACGCGCAACAAAGCGGCCCAAAGTAGTACCTGTACCTTTTCAGGCGTGGCCCGTTTTGTAGCGCGTTAGGGACGGGCGGAAATACGCCAAGGTGGGAACGAGACCATTGAATACAATGGGATTTATATTTTTCAGCGTTTTGTAGAGCGTTCGTCGAGCGTAGAACACGCTACAAAACGTTCAGGTGTGAACGAGGGCTTATGGACTTTGTCTTGCACATGTCACTTTTATATTCAATACAGTGGACTTTTTTATGATAAGAATTTGCTGTTTTGCACATGTCACTATGATCACTGAAATGTTTTTTGATGAAAAATATTTACGCTTATATTCACAAGCACTTTAGAGTGAATATCTGTTTATTAAAGGTTTTGCAGTTTACAAAAGTAACAAAACAATATAAACATAACAAACATGACTTGTATCCAAACACAAACCAGAACAAAGACCCTTTACTACAGCAGTAAAAAACCAGATTGGGGTCTAAGTATGCCTATGTCAGCAAGAAAGAAACAAATTCCAAACTAATGAGGAAAGTATTCAAACAAGGTCAAACGGGAGAAGAAAACAGAAGGGAGGAACAGTGAGAAGAAAAAAGGAAAGAGAAACCAGAAAAGGAAACTAGAACATTGTAGAGAGCGGAATGTAGTCGCGGTGAGCCCAACCACAAGAAAGATGAGAGCTGGCAATAAGCATAAGCACTTTATTTAGATGGAATATCACATTGTGCTATAAGGAAAGTATTTTATTTGGTAGTGTTTTTCTGCATGTTTTAAACCTACAAGCGCAGTGCACTATTTATTAGAGGTGCACCGAAATGGAAATTTTAAAACCGAAATAAAAAAAATTGTCAGGCTGAAACGGAAACCGATACCGAAAATGTTTTTTATTTTAATTTTTTCTAATTTTTAAAATATTTTTAGGGCTGGGGAAAACCCTGGTTCATTTTATTACTATTATTACATATTATTATGTGTATAGGCCAATGTAGTTGGATCTGTATGTGCGTTTATAATTAATCAAACAACTATGAATGAGTGGGGGTGATGTAGATCACTCCCATTCCTTCATAATTGAGCATATAGTTAACATACCATGTCCTCAATTATCTACAAACACTCAGCGATCACTGATCCCTGAGTGTTTGTACCTCGCTCTCCTCTCTGACACGCTGTCACAGGAGGCGGGGCGGTGAAGGGAGGAGAGCTCATCCTCCGGTGACAGCGCGGCCTGTCTCCGCCCACACACTGCTCTGCCGCACTGTGATAGGAGGCTGAGCGGTGTGGGAGGAGACGCTGGCCGCTCGCAGCGCTCGGCCGTCTGTGACACTTTCTCGCTTCCCCCGCGGGGACACAGAGCAGCGCCCAGCAGGGAGGAAAGAAACCTGGGATGCGCCGATGTATCGGCAGGAAAATGGCACTTTCGGCACTATGCCAAAAGTGCCATTTTCGGGCCGATATATCGGTGCATCCCTACTATTTATGTGCTATTAATATGTTTAAATATTTCCAAGATCAGAATTTTTTTTTTTTTATCATAAATAATTTACAAATGATAAGAGGACATCAGCTGTGAATGAGAGATTGAGTTTATGAAGGTGTTATAAAAGAATAGCGGTTGAGATGTGGAATGCCTCTACATCATGATGTAAAAATCCATAGAAAAAAGACTGGCTGGTGTTCTTACAAAACATGGCTATAGCAATTAGATTAAAGGAAAAGATGGAAAGACTTCAATCCATGACATTTATCCCCTTACAAAGTAACAACTTCCTAGGACTAGTCTACACTTTTTTCTGGCATTACTGCCTTTTTGTTTTGTTTTTTTATTGCATTACCACAGTTTAACAGCACTGTGTTGCAGACATGTGGCCTCCGTAACGTGCACCTGATGAAAGTCACAAGTCTGAAATGTTTTACTTTTATGATATGATAGTAAAAAAGTAGTTTTTTAGAGTAATCTAAGAGAATACAATTGGGCCCCAGGATTTTATATTGCTTAGTTTGTTGATCCAAAATGGCTGATATCACCCCAGCTGATATTATGTTAAAGCTTTTCAACAATTTAGCTTTTTCCTTCCTTGCCTGCTGTATATGTCAAAGGGTAAACTTGGTATCTCCTAAAGCCAAAATAATTTTTTTGGGATAGAGTAGGAAGAATGTCACATTAAAAATATTTCTTTATCAGTAACAATATGGCAATACTATTTGTGTGAAGTAAGGCAACTAGGGAGAAAAATAATTGGGCACCACAGTGGCGTAGTGGTTAGCGTTCTGCAAGGAGTTTGCACGTTCTCCCTGTGCTTGCGTGGGTTTTTCTCTGGGTACTCCGCTCTCCTCCCACACTCCAAGCACATGCTGGAAGGTTAGTTGGCTCCTGTCAAAATTGGCCCTTGTATGCATGTATGCATGTGGGATAGGAACCTTAGATTGTAAGCTCCTTGAGGGCAGAGACTAATGTGAATGTGCGCTGTGTAAAATTGTCTCGCTGTATAAATACCGGTGGTAATAATGATTTTTAAAAAATTAAGGGCTTAACTACATTAGCAATTTATTATTTTTTGCAGTTTCCATTTTATGCTACTTTAGTAATTTAACCTTTTGTTGACAGTCGCCTTGAAATTGGTGTGTTGTAAATGAGATGATTGGCAAGAAGGTGTTAACTTGCTGGGTGGCATGGGATTAAAGGAAACCTGTGCTGAATAAGTATGTTATCATTGCTGATCTTCTGACTAATTGCTTGCCCATTTGCTTTAGTAGTTTTGAGTGCCCCAAG